AGATAGAACCAGATAAGTTGTTGATTAATAAGGGGATCATAGTTTGTGGGAGAAGGCAGGAGAGTGGGGTTGAAAAAACATATCAGCCCTGATCGAATGGTAGAGCAGTCTCGATGGGCCAAATGGCCTAACTTTTGCTCCTATATCTTATGGTCTTATATTAGAATGTTTTATCATCCTTCCATTAACTGTCATCATCATTCACCAACAACATGCATTTTAATACAGAAATATTATTGTGAAATCGTCTGTAACAGAAAACATAAAACAGTATGGACGCCTAAACTAGGGTAGGTGAGTTAGAAATGATGAACAAAACCTCAGCCTTAAAATTGATTTAATTCATCAAATTGATTTTAAGGCTTCCAGCATTTCAGAAGGTAATTCCATTCCACTTAGAATATTGCAAGTGCCAGTATGACTCACTCAGAGCACTTTTACCTCTCAGACAGAAGGTCACGGGTTCAAGTTCCACTCTAGGATTTAGCCACATAATCTAAGTTGACACTTCAGCTCTGAGGGGTTGTTGCATTGTTCGAGATGTCGTCCTTTGGATGAGATGTTAAACCGAGGCCCAGTCTATACTGTTCCAGTGGCCACAAATGATTCCCGGGAACAATTCGAGGACGAGCAGAATTCTCTCAACTAATACCAGGGAAACAGATTAACATGTCAATTGTTTGTTACTGCTTATACAATCAAGTTGTATGTAAATGGGGTGCTGCATTTATCTACATAACAATGGTGACTATATTTCAAAAAGTATGCTGTGGATCACTTTGAGATGTGAAAAGCTTCTACATAAATGTAAGTTCTTACTTTATATTATCACACAGCAGCACACAAAATACAGAATTTTCTATGTATCTATATTAAGATACTGTTGCATATAATGCTTATTTTTGTTTCTCCATGCTGCTGTCTGCCTGTATGGATTTCAGTTCTAGGCTCCATGGAGAAAGTGATCTCTGCTGTGTAACACAGGGACCAATATTACAAATGTATCTCTCTGTCTTCAGGAAGCTAATGAGCTCAACAAAGATTCATGGACACATTTCAAGGGTGCTGGTGATTGTCAGTCTCCCGTAGGTCCCACTGATAGCAGTTAGGGCAGCAACGCACACCACGTGACTGCTATGTTATATTTGCGTCATATAAAAATGACTTAAATGGTTCTGGAAAACTTTACTATATGGGGAACATATTATTTTGGGAAAGTGACCAAAACTTAGGGCCCTGTGGCTGATTCAATTCTGTAAACAATCATTCCTAAACCTAAATATTCATGGACCAGTATTATTTGCATAAATTTGAACAGGAGAGTGAAAATTTGGCATTATTTATGCACAATGTTTAAAAGGCTTAGAAGAGGATTGGCCTCTTTCATTTTGAAACAAGGAACTCACTCATTCAATTTAATGATTGACTGATTGAAGCAATTTAAAAATTATTTGGTTTGCAATCAGGAAAATGGACAAAGGCCAGAGAAAATGTATCATTACAAACAAGGCATAAAAACCAAAATGAATGCTCCAAACGTTTTCTCCCTTTTTCTTTCTTGGATTCGGCCCAGTGAACTGAAGTCAATTATTGGGCAGGCCTTCCAATTACAGGAGATGTTTTAGACGCAACGTCAATAATTGTGATACCTTAACAGGAGGGGAGGGTAGCTTCCCTTACGAGGATACCTTCAATAATACAGGAATTCTCCAGTCCAGAAGTGGTGAATTGTGCGGACTGAAGGATTGAGAATGAATGTGACACACAGAAACTAACCAACGGGAGGGGGAATTGAATGGGGTGAATGTACAAAATGTGGATGAGGTAAAGGGGCAACAGTAAAAGGGATAGCCGAACCTGAGGTGGAGAGGAAAGATGAGGAGAGATAAATGGTAAGCACTGAGGAACAGTGAGACTTAATTGTGTCATAAGGCCAAGACCAGAAATTAAAAACAAAAACAGAAATACCTGGAGAAACTCTGCAGGTTTGGCAGCATCTGTGTAGAGAGGGACAGACTGAACATTCCAAATCCAGAGACACTCCTTCAAGACCAGCTATGGGAAAGATATTATTAAGCTGGGGATGGTTCCGAAGAGACTTACCAGGATGTTGCCGGGTATGGAAGGTTTGAGTTATAAAGAAAGGCTGGAAAGGCTGGGATTTTTTTGACTGGAGCATAGGAAGTTGAAAGGCAACCTTATAAAAATTTATAAAATAATGAGGGGTATAGATAGAGTTAATGGTAGTTGTCATTTCCCTAGAATGGAGGATTTCAAGACCAGAGAGTGCATTTTTAAGGAGAGAGATTTAAAAAAGGTGAGTGACAAATTTTTTGCACAAAGGGTGGTTTGCGTGTGGAATGAACTTCCTGAGGAAGTGGTGGATATGAGAACAATTACAATGTTTAAAATACATTTGGGTAAGTACATGAGTAGGAAAGGTTTGGAAGGATATGGGCCAGGGGCAGGCAGTTTAGTTTGAGATTATGTTTGGCATGGACTGGTTGGATCGAAGGGTCTGTTTCCATGCTGTATGACTCCATGACTCTATGACCAGAAGTTATCAGGATTGTTTCCTGTTAATGAAAAGTGCCAAGATGACCACAGTTCTTCTCATTTCCTGTTTTGAGCATTATATTATTTTCTTGTCCATTTGTACCTTAATCGCTTGTATGTTGCTACACACCATGTGCTTCATTTGGCCAAATGAAGAGTCTAATAAAGTCTATCTGATAAAGCAAAGGGCTCCACGTGTACTGCAGCTGCAGTAGCCATTTTGATGCACCTCAGAATCTCCTTCATCTGTCGACTTAGCACAGTATCCCCACTTACACTCTTTTCTGTTGATATTCTATGGGGTTTTTGTTTGGCTAAGTGCGAGTTGCAATGAAGTTTTTGGAGGGATTCTTACAGCAAAGCCCAGTTAGATTTCTTGCAGTATCTTACCAAACTCGTCTCATTATCTACCCTGTGTCATCCTTTATGTCTAGTGTGTGCCCATCTTACCATGTGCCGTGACCAGAACAACTTGGGACTCAGTGGATATCTGCTGAAAGAGCTTTGTCATCTATAAAAAGCCGTTGCCCACCCATTGACAATCCCACCATTGGCAACGTCATGGCCACACTGTCCATGGCACACAACTAGCATGGCTGACACACCCTCACATGAACAACATCATTCTTTCAGCTTTTAGTCCCCACACCACACATTTATACCATACATGGGGAGGCAATAACCTAGTGGTATTAATCCAGAGATTGAGGTGATGTTCTGGGGGCTTGGGTTCGAATCCTGGACGGCGGAATTTGAGTTCAATAAAAATCTAGGATTAAAAGCCTAATGAGGACCATGAAAATGTTGTTGATTGTCGGGATAAACAAAACCATCTGGACTTAATGCCCTTTATGGAAGGAAACTACTGTCCTTACCGGTCCGGTCTACATGTGACTCCAGACCCATAGCTGTGCGGTTGACTCTTAACTGCCCTCTGAAGAATTAGGGATGAGCAGGGTCAGCCAGAGATGCCCATGTCTGTGAATGAAAACAGAATACCTGCCCGTAGCTGATCCCACCTGAACACTTCCTCTGAGTCACTGCTATTCTGTCCCCAGTGCCCACAAGGCACCCGCAAGCCTGCCATTGTCTAGTAGCAGAAATGTCCTATCCTGGCAAACATTTGGGCAAGTCCAAACAGGAGCTCTTATTGACAGCCATGGAAAGGGAGCGCAAGACTTTGGAAATGACCTACATTGGGAATACAGGGAGAGAAAGAGTTCCTTAGTGTCAGAAGAGTGACATACTGCCAGATGAGGCCAAACACATTTCTCCAACAGTGAGGCAGGCTGATAGTGAGGACCATCTCTTGCTTTCTGCACTAAAGAGCCATGTCAATATGGCAGTACAGAGAGCCTTTGAACTCTGCCGATGCACAAACAGGCATGAGATAGCAAGGCAAGGTGTGAATACTGCGAGGTGCAGGTAGACACTAAGTGAGTGAGTGCTCAGAGAGGGTGTGAGCAGCCCTGAGATGCAGCGTGGTCCAATCTGTGAGCTGCCTGCCTGATCCTGCAAAGTAAGTCTGTGCTTCCTCAGGATCCAGCAAGTGGATTGGAGAGGCACCATGATGGTCATGAGGAAATGGGCACAAATGCCACATGCCAAGGTTTGTGGTGTACATGTGGCTGGTGCCCGTGGATCATACCCTGAGGTGCTATTTGGTCCTAAGCAACGTAGAGACTCCTCGTAACCAGCAGTGGGCTGAAATCATCAGATACCCACTCTGATTTACACAATGAGATTTCTTGATGTCTAACTTTATTGGTGCATTTGGTAAGATAGGAAGCTGAATATGAATGAAGCAAGTTAATGAGGTGTTTATCAAGCAATAATCCCTTTTAATTGCAATTCACCATTGCCTAATGAGAAACCCACCACATCGCACGGCAAAAGCATAAAAGATGGCATGAGATGCTCCGACTGTCAAGATAGGCCTTGATGGACTTCACATCCGATGCTACCACCAACTTTCCCCAGGCCTCTATAAGATTCCACCCTGTGATTCTTTTGTAAATCAGAAAATAGTGGCTTCCATTAAGTTCCACAAGCTGGACCTCAGCACAGAACCTAGGCTAGAAATTCCACGTACTGAGTGAGTGCAACATTGTTGACAGCACCATCTCAGGTGATGGATTAAACCAAGACCCTATTTATATATTCTATGTATAAACTAAATGTTTACTCAAAGTAGGGAATTGTCCTGAACATCTTTGCCCCAACTATGGTAGTCTGTGCGGATCCGAATTTGGACCCATAACTCTGGAATGGAAGAACCTCATCCCACGTCTCGAGGGATGCCTTATGTAGAAGGAACTTCGAGGTCGGGAATTGTCCTGACGTTTTTGCTCATGTTCTTCCCTGAATGCTGATGTCTCTCCCATATTGTTAAAGTTTAAGAAAAGGTTGCAGCAATTGAGACAAAAAGTAACATTTTAGTGTTCTGGAATATTGATATTTTATTAACAAACTTGAGCACTTTCTCACACCACACTGATCCTATTTTCTTCTTGAGTGGATTACATTTTGGAGTGAATTGTGAACAGAAAAAGTGGTCAGCTTTATCTTTGGATTTGTCATCAACTGCAGGGGAGAGAAAGATTTATATCGTGCTTTATCACATTTTCAGGAAATCCCAAAGTGTTTTACGATGTGTGGATACCTTTAGAGTGCAGTCAGTTATAAATTATGGATTCTGGGACACGAGCAATATGACTTACTGCATCATTTCACTTTCACGATATATTACCACCAGGAATTTTTTAGTTTACAAGGAGGAAACATAAGGAATGAAAGTACTTCAGTCATTTGAGTAACCACATTTCATTGCATTCTCAAGACTATTGAAAGTCTCAGGGATAACACATTTCTCTTTGTTACACTAACTGTGGGCTGGATGGATGATGTAGTGTGTTTCTTTGACATAAAAGGCTTCAACCGTTGTTAGTTGCAGTAAAATCTGTGCAATTTAAAATTCTTTTGGAAGTCCTTACTCTGTCATTCTTCACTTATGCCCTTTAGGGCACAAACTCAGCCTTCCTTATCCTTCACGTGTAGTTTAATGTCTTACTCTGTTGCAAGGTAAGTATGGAAGGGAATATTCTAATTACAAATACGCACATAATGCATGTGCATATAGTACAGTTTCTGAATCGTATAGATTTCAGAAAGGTGTTGTAACAAAATGGCAATGACCTTAAGAGAAATGACTTTAATAGGTCACAGGCAATCTCATGAATTTCACTCTGGCAGCTGCTGACTGAACAGAATGTCAGAGCTATTGTGCAGGGTTATAACTAGTAAGTCACATATTCCCCAAGCTTCTAATTCATATTCAAAAAAAAAGAAACAAAGTTCTGTATTGAGTTACTGCTTACAAGGGCACTATTACTTTGGAGCCTGGGTCCCAGGAATGCTGCACTTGGTGTTCCATGATCTTCAAGGATATACTCCTCATGATTTCCTTCAGTGACATGGGTCTGCTCTCACTTTTGATTTATTCCAGAGAAGACCTGGGCACACACTGATGGAGACTGGTGATGTACCAGCATCTCCTTCTTCTCATTAGGCAGTTCCTCAGCGCTGAGGGTTACTTGCTTCCACTCTGTTTTGATGGGATCTGAGATAGCTGATAAGTTATCTGCAGCCTGCCATGCATATGGCAGGTGGCACTAAAGGTTTGGGAGGACAACTTGTTCAGAGGTTTGTGTGCTTCCTCTCATACTTCAACTTCAGCTCTGCACCTTCTAAGCAAAGTCTCTCGATGTGTTTGGTGCCTTCTCAAATGAATATTCTCCATTTTGGTTCGTCACAGGCTCAGGTTTTCCCATGAGTTGATGGGGATATTTGATCTCTTCAGGGATGCTTTGAGGACATCCTGAAAGTGTTCCCATTGTCCTCCAGCCACAGCTGTGTTCCAAATACAGCAGCTATTCCAGCACCATGATGCATGTCACTTTATAGCAAGGGAAAAATTAAAAAGCAGCAAAATGATTAACAAAGTGCAGGGTCTAGCGATATAGTAGAAACTAGCCGATACGGCATTCCCAATAATAAACACAGAGCTGGTTCTGTACATGTACCTGGTTACATTAAGAAACTGACATTGAAATGCACAGAACTGACCCTGGAAATGTAAGCAGACCCATAAAAGAAATGCCTGGTTCCGCAGCATTAGTCACAGAAATCCAAATCTGTAAAGCTGTCAAAATCACCAGCTTTATTGGTGAGCGAGCCTTTTGACTTATTGCTAACACTACAGTTTCTGAGTCAGAAGGTGGAGCATTTGAATCCCATTCCAGTCAGTCCTGGTAAGTGAAGACCGGCCGTGAGTCCTGGCTGTGTGTCAAGGGGCCATTGGTGAGTGTCTGTCTCCCCAAATTGTGTCGGTAGTGAGATCAAGGATGGATATTAGGGCTGAATTGGCCAGATTACTATGAGGTGCAGCTATTATGGTTTCATCCCTGTACTGTCATTTTTAGTTATGGGGACCTGGCTCCATGATTTGTCCCATAGTAAGATTATGGCATAAGCCACGATGAGTAACCCTTGAACACCAAGAATGGCACAAGGAAAGAACGACGGTTATGACTTTAGGAACAGAGTCTAATTCGACTGTTAGTTTTCTTCTGTCCTTCTACAATTCTATAAAGATTGTAGGATATGAAAGTGAAAACAGATGTCTGTATATTTATTAGCCATATTTCAGGTATCAAAAAATGACATTTCCATAGCATCTAATCACATCTGGGGACCCTCCAAAGAGCATTGACAGTCAATCTTTTAAAATGCAGTTACTGTTGTTATGCTGAAACATGCAGCAATCCAGGTACACAGAGCTGCAATGCTGTCAATGCAGAATTCCCTAAATGCTGCATTGGAGTAGCTGTTCTCAATTTGTGCTCAGAGATAGATTATAGATTCTGCTTTACATAGTGAACACACAGCATTCTGATATGGCAGAAGCATTGTGGGTCTACTTACAGGACATGGACTGCCACATAGTTCAAGATGGCAGCTCACTACCACCTTCTCCAGGGCAATAGATACTGACTCAGCCAGCAGTGCCCACATCCCATGAGCATCTGGGGAATCCTAATTTTAGACCAAAGTAAGGATGACTGAAGTTTTAGATTTGTTTCAGAGGTGTGGGTCTGAGTACGGGAGACCATTCCCCACGACCTTGAGCAATCACCCCACCCATCCCAGCGTGCTGGCTCTTTGCAAGAGCATTGTGATCATTCCCCTGCTCTTAGAACAGTGCTTAGCCTCCCCTCTCCCAGTTACTCTACTTCATGGCTGGAAAATTGTTGTGACACCTCAGTGAGAAGTGGGGGAGTGATGGCCTGTCGGAGTGAGTGTCTACATGTTGTAACTTGGTCCAGATCATGGCAGCCATTCCTCAAAATTATAGCTCATGACCCTACTTAGAGACCCAACCCCCACCTTCGGACCCCTCTTAGGAAGATATGTACAGGAATAGACCATTCAGTCTCTGGAGCATCATTCCATTAATTGATCTGTATGTCATCCCCCCCCCCCCCCCCCCCCCCCCACCCATTATGGTGGCACAATGACTCAGTGGCCTGGGTCCTGGGTTCAATTCCACCCTTGGACGACTGTGTGGACTTTGCACATTCTCCCTGTGTCTGCGTGGGTTTCCTTTCACAATCCAAAGATATTTTAGGTGGATTGGCTGTGCTAAATTGTCCATAGTGTCGAGGGAAGTGCCAGGCTTGGTGAATTAGTAATGGGAAATGCAAGGTTACAGGGATTGGGTGAGAAACTCTTCGGAGGGTCGTTGTGGACTCGATGGGCCGAATGGTCTGATTCTAAACTGTAGGGATTCCATCATTTACCCTCCCTAAAGAAGATCTGCCGAACCTTAATTTAAAAAGAAACAAGGGACTGTAAGTGCCGAAAATAAACAAAAACAGAAATTGTTGGAGAAACTCCGCATATACAGACAGAAAGCAGAGTTAAGAGTCACTGGACCCGAAACTGTTTCTCCACAGATACCGCCAGACCTGCTGAGCTTCGCTAGCAATTTCCTCGCAGTTTTTGGTAGAGGAAGATTTTCCAGAACTCTGTAAGTTTTCGTCCAATTCGCTATTAAAAGTTGCTACTGAATCAGTTTCCATCGCCCCTTCCGGCAACGCAGCTCACTGACTCGATGGGTTATGTGTGTTTTTTTTTAAAAATTCAATGCAATCCCTTTTAAAACTGGAGATCGAAAGAGAGAGAGAGAAAGAAATCAGCAAACTTAGCAGCCCACCTTAAGTGTGGGGTGAGGCTGCGGCCAGTGGCAAAAGTCCAAAGGGTCCACGTTGCTGTTTGCAACCTTTAAATGAAAGTCATTTCGCTCGACTGTGCACCTAAAATTGCCCAAAGAAGAAAAAAATGCAACGCAGTGTGGACTTAACCCTCCTCCGCAAACCGATAAAAGCTAACCTTTGGTGCTGTGTCTGCTCACAGAAACTCCGTGCCTTACTGCTATAAGGCAGCTCCTACATATATTTTTTTCCACACACAATCATCTCTCTCCTTTTGGATCTGGCTGGTGTTTGACTTAAACCTCTTGTCAAAAGTAACTCCTTTCCCTTATCTCCACCCACCCCCAAAATAAAGTTTGCCCTGCAGCCAAGGGGGGCCGTGTTTGCCCCCCGACCACCCTGCAGGAGCAGGGTCAGTGCCTGGCAGGCACACGTTCACTCTCCAAAATCCTCTTGTCAATTTTCTTCTTCCTTCCGCCCTCAGTGCGCAGGCTCGGGCCTCCGCTGACGGGTTACATTTTAACCAGGAGCCAGTGTTCCTCTGCAGTGACGACTCTTTCTCCAGAAGAGGTTCTACAAGCGGCCAAAACAAAAACACTACATGCACACGCCAGCCAGTCCACGCAAGGGCGATTTCGCATTGTAACGCAGACAGGTACGCAGTGAGTGTGGTTTCAATCTGTTTCTTCCTCCTCTGTTTCCCCCCACCCTCCACCCCTGCTTTCTCATGTATCTATTTGTGCCTGTTGCAATTTCTTCTCAGCCCACTTCTATTTATCGATTTCAAAGTGAATACCTTCCAACAAGGGGGTTTCAAGCGTTTCTTCCGCCTGAACTTTCTCCAAAACTTTCTTTTCCAAGGGTGGGAGAGTGATTTTTCTTAAAAAAAAAATGTAGTTTATGTTCGAGCGGCGGGTGGTGCTGAAAGGATGCCAACTGGAGAGAGGCTTGCACTGTTTTTAACGTGACGTTATATTCGCCTTTGAAAACAAAAGCTAAATGATTAAGGCAGAGTTGAAGGAGTACGGATTGCCTGAATCAATTGCAATGGCTGACTTGTGCTGCCGGTCTTTCCATACATTCTCCAGTTTCAGATTTAAATATCGAGATAAAATTCATGCTACGGCGTAAAGGTCCTTTTAACCCGTGTTCGTTCTACGGCATCTCCTCTCCCACTCCCATTCTCCCCCCTCCGTTTCTCCAAGTTGTTTTGGCTGCAGCAGTTTAGGTGTGGCAAATGAATGTGATTTAAAACTTTCTTTTTCCTTTTTTTTTAAAAAAAAGAAAAGAAAAGGCAGTGTGGAAAACCGAAAGCGAAAAGATGGGGATTATTCCGTGGATCTCTTAGCCAGCTGAGCGGCTTTAGTGAGAATGCACAGCAAAGGGCAGACCTGTGTGTGTGTTTAACCCTCAATCTGAGACGTTATGCCCTAGATAAGAAACTGCTGATGTCCTTCCATACAGGCGATTGTCTGCTTCATATTTTGTAGGCTGTTGGCTGCTCTGCTTTGTGGCAATGGATTTTAGCCAGTGAGGCCACTGCTGGTCAGTAAGCTGGTTTATAGGTTTTTTCAGCAACTTAATTACAATAGGTCAGTGGGGACATGGTATCCCTGGGTGAAGACTTCAAAGTGGTTGCAATGAAATGCATTCAGAATGCAATGTGTTGATACAAGGTTGGTCAGCTGGGTGGGTTAAAGAATACCAAGGTTTAAAAAAATCCTAGGTTCCACCTTTGGTTTGTGACTTAAATAAAATAATCGTCAGTGATATGTTATTGATGTGCACTCAGCCAGCATCACTTTGGAGAAGGTGTCAGTGGGGAGCTACTTCTCTTAAATGTTTGCAATCCATGTGATGTAATTACACCTCCCACTGCACTGTTACGGAGGCACTTCCAGAATTTTCACCCAGCAACATGAAGGCATGGTGATTTACTTCCAAGTCAGGATTCTGTGTGGCTTGGAGATGAACTTGCAGAAGGTGATGTTCCCATATGTCTGCTGCATTATCTAGATAGCAGGTTTGTAAGGTGCTGTCAGATGGGGTTTGGGGTTGGTTTGCCAGTGTCGATGGTGGTTAGCTAATCTTCCTGAAAGCAGCAATAGGACTTCTGTAAAAGTGTTTTATGTGGAGTGGGGGGGCTGATTAATTAACCATTGTTCCCATGCCTGATTGCTGAGAAGGGCAGACAGATTGGAAGGACAGAATGAGTTTGATTATAATCCACTCCTACTCTGTCCTTCCATCCAGTGCTTAGGTCCGACAACCCATTGACTTGACATCACATGGACTTGCACATGAGGAATAATATTGAAGCATCACTGTAATTGGTGGAGCCATGCGAAGCAAAATTGCTGCTTCAGCAGGAAAGGGAAAGAAAGTGCAAAGCTTTCAGTTTTATATAGCGACTGTCATTTAGCTCCACACATGCCAAGGCACTTTACAGTCAATGAAGTATTTTTGAAGTGTAGTCACTATTGTGACTTAGGAAACATTGCAGCCAGCCTGAGGACAGCAAGTTCCCCCAAACAGCAACATGATAATAGCCAGATAATCTCTTTCAAAGATGTTGGTTGATGGATAAATATTGGCCAACTATAAAGCAAGAAGGGGAATCCAATGCTGAAGCTTGTGTCAGATCATACAATGATGCAGCGCAGTACGAGGCCATTCCTTCCAATGTGTCTGTGCCACTCTTTGGTCCAGCTGTCAGGTTAATCTCGGTTATCTTGAAAACTTTTTCTTTTCAATTCCCTTTTAGCAGTTTTGAGTCTGTTTCCACCCCCCTTTCAGACAGCCCATTTCCTATCCTAACAACTTGCTATGTAAAGATTTTACCCCATCATGTTGCCTTGATCCTAAATCTGCACCCTGTGGTTATTGACCTCTCGAGTGGGAAGAGTTTTGCTATTTGTTCTTTCACTAATCCTTTCATAATTTTAAGCATCTCAATCAGATCTTTCCTTAACCATCTCCTCTCTCAGGTCAGCGAGCCTAATTTTTCTAGTATTGCCGCATGAATGAAATCTTCTGTATCGTTCTCGTAAATCTGTCTTGCAGTTTCACTTGGACTTGGGCAAATTTGCTAAAATATGAATCCTGCAGTTATATACTATCATCCAGCTGTGCCCAGCCAGTATTTAATAAATCCACTGTTTTATAACATTTTAAAATAAAATCTTTACTTTTCTACACAAATCTAATCGTCCTTTATGCCTTTTAAACAACCATTCCAGTTGATTCTGCAGTCTGCAAAGATTTGTATTCACACCCAGCAACACCCCCCCACCTCTCTGTTTCTGCACTCTTTTTAAAATTGCATTATTTAGATTTTATTACCCACCAAAATGAATTATTTCGTACTTTGCTGTGTTAAATTTCATCCACCATATATCATTTAGTAACTCAGCATGCCTCCTGCTGCCACAAGATTAGCCCCCTTTTTAGTCCTATCATTTCTATCCTGCTGTTTGGTAGTCTATAAAGTACACCCTGCAGTGCAATATTTATTCTAACAGAATAGATTCCGTCCTTGACTACATCATGTCCTTTTCTCCACCTGTAACATTATCTTTGATCAATATTTCCAGCCCTAGAAACATGAATAGGCAGGGAATAGAGGGATATGAATCACGTAGAGGCAACAGGTTTTTACCTTTGAAAAGGCATCATGTGTCAGCGCAGGCTTGGTGGGCCGAAGGGCCTGTTTCTATGTAGTACTGTGCTTTATTTATCTTTGTTTTTTATCAACCCACTTCTTTTTTTCCCTTCCCTGTATTTCCTGAATACACCACAACCAGGGTTAAGTGCCCATTCTTTCTCTTGTTTGAACTGAGTCTCAAATTATTGCCACCATATCATAACCCCATGTGTTGACTTTTGCTTGCAGCTCACTAACCTCTTCTAACTTTGCTCCATGCATTTACACCTGTGCATTCTGAACCATCAACCTAATTTTCCTCACAGCCAGTCTTGTCTATTTCTCAGCTAATTTTCGTTCCAGTGTTTGTCTATTGCAGTTTCCTCCAGACCTTGCAGTTCCCTTCCCCTCTGATATTTTGTGGCACCCCTCATCCATTTCAAAATAATTGAAACTCTGCTGCACTTCTAAATTTTAAGTCTGAGATAAACAAATTTCTGTTAAGCAACGGTATTAAGGTATATGGGCCAAAGGAATTAGGCAACGGATCAGCTATGATCTCATTGAGTGGCAGAACAGGCTCGATGAGCTGAATGGTTCCTATGTAGCCTTGCTGCAGGATGTTTTTATTCTTCTTTGTGATGTGGTTGTCGCTGGCAAGACATTTGTTACCCATCCCTAGTTGCCTCATGAACTGAGTGGCTTGACAGACAATTTCATAGCATATTGCAATCTACATCATATGGTGATCTGACCACATTAGGTAAGGATGGCGGATTCCCTTCCCTAAGGACACAAGTGAACTGACTTGGTTTTTATGACAATCAAAGTAGTTTTATGCTCGCCATTACTTTCGATTTCAGGTTCGGTATTCGCGTTTCGATTCCAGAAATTGCCATGCTTCGATTTGAAGGCATGTTCAACAGAGGGTTTGTCTGGGCTCCAGATTGCAAGTCCAATGACCCTACCACAACGCCATCCACTTCCCTCGGCAAGCCTCAATGGCAAACCTCGATGAAATCCAGCTTTTGCTGAATTGTCAACATACTTTTGCTTTTTCCAGGAACTGACTTTACTATCTTCGAACTCGAGATTGTTACACCAGTTATAGGGGGTGGTTAATCTAATTAAGGCTGAATTGACTCTTCACGTGAATGTTCCAAAACAACCCACTGTCCTCCTCTTTCCCCATAGGATGTATCTTTTTCAACTGCAAATATTTAATGCTTTTTCATTTAAATGACCAAATAGTCTTTGCTTCAGGTACTACCTTTGACAAAGTAGTAATTATTGATAATGCTGCAAAGAAATTTCCGTGAACCCATCTCTTCACTCTTTTAGTGGCCATTTGTAAGAGGTGGCACTTTGCTACTAATATCCCAACTGGAAGAAATACATTCTTCCATATTAAACTCTCAAATTCCTTCATAATTTTAACAGCCACAATTAAATCTCCCTCAGTCATTTCTGTCTCAGTGGAAATAGTCCCGATATCTCAGTTGCTCCTTATTATAATTTTTGCTGCTGGCTCAATGCCTGATGAATTTCTCTAAAGAATTGCTGTATAGTACATAGTGTTCTAATTTGATGCAGCCATTTCCCTCGATGAACTTTATACACTTCCTACTAAATTCTGCATAGCATTCTTTTGGCTGGGTTTCAGAGTTACATTTATCTCCCAAATAATTTAAAATCCATTTGAAGAATTGCAAATAAAAATCTCTATTCACAGTGTGAACAATCAATGATATCAATGTATGTGTTATTTGGAGCTACATCTTTATGCTCTGTACTGCTTTAAATCTATTGCATTTGTATACCTTTGTTGAACGGTGCTGAACTTTGCTCCACTAAAGCAGCAACATTGAGTTCTACATGTTTTACCTGCTTTTTTTTTCATTGAGTTAAATATTTGCACTATCTGTTGAATCCATCAGTGAGCTCAGTGTGCGTAATAGTTGGGACTAGTGTCTTGCTCCAGGAATTTCTTCAGTGAACCCTAGTGCTGTCTG